TTTAAGGGCCATTTCACCCTATTTTGCTCACCCTCATTGCGCGCCTGCTCCGCATCAGAGCCACTTCTGATTGATTGACCGATGACAGGCACACTTAAGGCTGTTGACACTTCAAACACTCACCTTCGTTACAACTTGCTGTTGTCGATTGTGTTGTGCTCGCAACAATGTGACCTGCTCCCAGAGTTGCTCATTCTCCCTGAAAGAAGAAAAAAAGTAACTTGATTCATTGTTGATAGACATGGCAAACCTTACTTTACTAACTCATGCATTTTATTATCCATGGCACGCTGTTTTTCGCGCATTTGCCGCAACTCCTCCATAACCAGCTGCAGATTCGCTTGCGCGTGCACCCCATTCACGGAATTTTCCGACGATCGCGATGACTGCTAGAAACATGGAGCATTACTAGCTTAATATTTGGCTAAGTGATTAGCTTGAGCGTCAAAATAAAGTTCTGAAAATCGGCACTAAGGAATCCAAACCCTCAATCACCCTGAAACACAACTGGGTTTAATAAGCAAAATGTAACTCCTTATAGCAATCAATTGAGACTTAGCATCTCCCCACACTCAACAACATTTTATAGGCATATTCTAGATGATAGAAGTCAGAGCTCTAATCTCAGAACAATTTGAACTGAATAAGGAAATTTTTTAGAGCCTTAAAAATTAGAGACACTTTCAATTCATTTACGCAATGCCTGCATTTCTATGCATCCTCTCATATCTAATCATACTCCGGCAATTTCTATGAGACGAGACTTCTTGTCTGCCTCAATACTCCGCTGAATTTTAGACCATATAATTTGCTATCTACCCCTCTCTCATTGCGTATTCATGCTTTTGTCAGCGTGCAATCAATATGCATACCGAATACGAACATCTGTTCACAGTCACGCAGTTGTCTTCTTGCATTTATCAGCAAATCAGAATTACTAATTATGAGGGAATAAGAAAGATATTGAGTACAATTGCGAAGACTATAACTTTTGTTTAGCTTGCTGGGATATAGCGCGATCATAACAGAAATTGCAGAATGATGTTGTGAGGTGCGTTCAGTAAAAATGGCATAGTACTAGTTTTACATATTCTTGCTGCCACTCCATGACATTATGATTCTATTAGAAGAAGTGAGCCAAGAACATAACGTTCACATCAGTAACCAACCGGTTTCTACCATTATCTGCAGACAATAAAAACAGCTGTCTAGACACAACAGATACACCCTCTTTGCAGCTAATGGATATCACAATAGGTCAACAGAAACCAAGGCAAAGAGATGATAATGCAGCAGTGATGAAATCATTCAAAGCAAAACAAAATTACCTTTCTTTTAATGTTGACTAAAAATTCTGGATGATCACGAATGAAGTATGGATGGCTAAACTCGAGATGATCCTGATCAGATTCAGTCCTCGTAAGTGAGCCTCGATCGACTGGAGTCATTTTCCGGAAGCCATCTTGAAGAAATGCATTGCAGAGATTGAACATAAGAAGTCAGCAGTATTATTTAGCTCTCAAAAATGCCGGAGAAAATTAACTGGAAAAGAAAGCTATGTAAACTTACACATATTCAGTTGACGTATAAGACTGTTCAAATTATTGTGCTTGAAGAAATGCGGCAAAACATTCCGGCAAAATGAATATGGATCGATAATGTGGAAGCTGTATCCTGACTGAAGAAAGATGTAATTGAATCATACAAACTCAGAGATATAATCAATTTGAAGTCCAGACTATCCGACTTACATCATCCCATCGTACAATCTGCTGATATTGAGGATCCTCGACAATACTCCACAGTTTGATAAGAAATAATGGCATTTTCTCATCATCTTTAAAGCTTGGAAGTTGAGCTGCCGACTGAAAAATAGAATAAACCTTTATGCAACGATACAGCCTCTAAAACATTCTTTTCGAAAGAAATGCTCTAGAATATGACCAGTATGTGGTTGAATCTAATGTTATGAAATGTCAATGTTTCAATATCATTCAACATGATAATATGGTCCATAACTATTCGTAGGGCAAACTCAACTTTCTGAGGATGAAGAACACTGCTCATCAAGTGAATTACTACGCTTTCAAATTTACTTCTTACTTCAAAACCTTCATCTATTAGTGTAGTATTCGTAATTGCTGAGTTTGGGTCGTAAAAATGCCCCAACGGTAAAACAAACAATACCAACCCTTTGGAGAATAATGAGAATACACTGGCAATTTACTTGGCAAGGGTAACCTTGGAGAAACAAAGATGCACCACATCGCGTCAAATCGTCAATCCTTGATTCAAAGCGTTTCATAAGATTATGAAATGCTTTGTTTATGGGTAGTCATGACAAATACACTGTAGTATTCGTCTCAAACAGAAAAAAAATGCTTAGTAATCTCTACCGTGATTTTGGCGCAAACACTCCAGTATTTCTCATGCGAACATCAATCAACAAATCAAAGAGCGATAAAACGAACAAATTTTCCGAATCAAGAACCTCTTTAAGATCAAAATTTCACTTAATGTGACTTTGCCTAATATGTGTGTGTAACTATGATGTCATTCTGTTCTATTCTAACGTTTGTTCTTGGAAATTTCATCCTACAACTGAACCTCAGCTATAACATCAAGTTTACGTGGAAGTTCATAACTGCCCAAAT